TTATAATGCAAGTCGATTTTTTTCTTACTTGTATTCATTGCAAGCACCGTAAGCAGAACTGATTATTATGCAAAAAATGCGAATAATTAATTTAATATTTGAATTTGTCTTTGCTCTCTTACTGTCTTGCATGGGGTTTGAACTGAATTTTAATTTAATTTGGTAATATAAGCTAAGCATTGATTAGTAAAAGCTCAATTTACATTTCATTATTTGTGACTGAGTGCCAAATATTATATCATTTGAACTTTTTTATAAGCTGTATCAAGTCAAAATTTGTCTGGAAGTTAATTGATAATTGCTAGTCAGTCTCGATTACTAGTCTCTATTTAGCAGAATGTTTTAACTATTACTCTGCATTTAAAAGCCTTTTTGCCACTTTTACCCCGGTATAATGTTTTTTAATATCACAGAACTTTGCTTTGACTGATTATCAATAATCTCGATTTCTTTAATATAAATAGATATTAACTTTATTAATAAATTTAGTTTTTCTCCTCAATTGTAATACGGTAATGATATGTTGATGTATAATAAACTAACTATAGAAACAAACAGTTTAACGTATACTTATATGAGATTTTAAATTTACTGTAAAACGCACATCACAAAAGTTTTGATGACAACAAATAGAACTTTTAGTGTTTTGTTTTCCTATAATTTACATTTATTGACTTAAATTCTAATATTTTACTGATTTCTTTCAAGATTACTGTAGTATGCTGGCTCAGATGGCAATAGAAAACGAATTAGATTGTAATTGATCAAATTAGAAAAAGTAGCTTGTGGCGATGTTTCTCAAGTATTCACTGATGATGGAAGCTACGTCAAACAGGTATTTCTTACTTGTTATGCGGTTGATAAGAAATTTATACGCTTCATTTTACGCACTTAATTTTCTACAGTCTTACCAAAAATAAAGTTCTCAGTCTTGGGAAACTGAATTGCTATGCGAGGATTTGGTAGCATGGTCAGTAGTTGATTCAGATTCTTGGGGCTCAGATTTGGTATTACTAGCAACAGAAGATTCTGGTGTAATTTGCTTAATCGAAGGTTTATCTATACTTGTGATCGAAGCAGATGCAAATCTGCAACAAATTATTGTTAAAGAATAGTTCGGAATGTTCCTTGCACGATTAGAAAAAGGTTAATCAAGTTTAATTATCATGTACAAAGTTGTCAACACATTTTTCTGTTCACATTTTACTTGCAGTAACAATGAAAAAAATATTGCAAAGTAATTTGCATAAAAAAAGTTATACAAATTTGGTAGCAAACATTTTTTGAATAAATTATATTTTGCTAAAATAATTTGTATTGTAAGCAACACTGAAGTAGCAGTTCAAGTAAAGATTATGTGTGCATTATCATTCAAGTAAAGATAGCAGCGTGATAATATTTCCGCTGAGTAATCTGTAAGATGCATTCGAATCAGGCGAATTACTGCCACGTGAAACATGCTTCAAGCATCATATTTCGACTACAAAAGGTACTGCATGAATTTTTAACAGAATAAAGTCATAATACTGCACAGTAAATTACAGGCTGCCAATTATTTGGTACGTGTATTCAGAATAACTTAAAACACTATCTGATCGTATGCACCAGCAAGAATATAACTGCTCTCCGATGCAACGCTGATTCACGTCAAGGTATTAGCAACATTTCAAAGCTTCCGAATGCATTTACAAGCACTCAAGTAATAATTGCTCGTTTATAGTAATTTATACGTGAAGGTTGATGTTTAATGATGTGGTACGGTTGTCAACTTGCAAATGATATGACACACTATAAGAATATTTGAAGACAGTATCGTTGATGGAAGAAATAACAGCTATTTCTGTAGTTGAAGGTGCTTTTGATGGAAATACCTGGCACGTAGCAGCATTAACACGAAGTATTATTGCAATAGTTAATCTCATAACTGTCACACTTAATTATCCTGAATGGAATCTGCCAAAATGTCTAGTCATCTTTCCATTCAGTAACTATGATAGTCAAACACAAGAAACTTTACTCTGTCATCAAAGTAAGTCCTGTTTCTCAATTCCTTAAATAGTGACAGTTTCTAAGCTGTTCTTTATTTGGATGGTAATAAATTGATTGATCAAAAAATGGATTTCATTTAAATTCAGAATAAATGTAAAACTTGTTTCATGCTTTAAGAAGTAACAAAAAAATTTTCGCGTGACCAAATATGGGGTTAGTATTTCAGATATATCCGTGACAACCGGAATAACGCCTGATGAACCAGTCAGCGTGGAAGAAACGTTTCGGTCATGTCCACTAAATGCTTTTGGCAAGAAGTATTATTCATTTTCCTCATTCAATTAAATTTGTATTTTGAAGTACCTCAATTACCTTCAATTTTCCACATCGCTCTTAAAATATCCACCGAAATTCCTTGTGAAAAATTTGTGAGTACAACAATTTCCAATCAAACAAGGTTCTACAATCTTTCCCGAACCTAAAAATTTTAGTCCTTCGCTTACCACACATTTTGGGATTTGGCGAAGAATTAATAAAAGTTCGATTAGCTGTAAGCGAAA